ACAAATGCAGCAATGAATAATAATACATATTGATGAATAAGAAACTATGCGATAACTATGCAACATCGGTTTGTATATTTATCAAAAAAAAACCTATGCAACATTCGGTTACCTGCTAACTTTCTATCCTAATCCTCGACCTCAATAACTTCCTACCCCAGGTCATGTCCTCAATTAGTTGAAGTTGTGACTTGTCCTATTTAATCACCATGCTTTAATTCTTCTTCGGCCTATATTTACCTCTCTAATTTCTTGCTGCAACTAACCTCTCTTTACCGATGCTTTGCACCTCCTTTTCACATGCATGAACCATCTCAGTCTCCCTTCCCTCATCTTGTCACTGATGCCACTTCCACTTTACCCTGTATAACTTCATTCCTAATCATATCTCTTTGAGTTTGCACATTCATCTAAACATCCTCATCTCCGCTACCTTTATATTTTTTAGCGTGAGTGATCTTGATTGACCAACACTCTACCCTGTACAACTATATTGGTCTAACCAAGCTCAATTCTCTCTTCTTGCCCGTATACTACTCCAACAATCTCCTTACAAAATGGATTGTTTATGTAGTTGATCACCGCGGTATGAATCCAAATTGGTTCGCAGAGATAGACATACTCTTCCTCATCTTCATCTCGACCACCCCCTTTCAGACTTTCATAGTGTGCTATAGTAGCTTGATACTGCTATAGTTATTCTAATTTTGGATCTCACCCTTGTTCTTGTACAACATAACCATTCTACTCCACCTCCTTTCCTCTGGCATTTTATCTGTCCTAAATATGACATTGAACAACCCAGTCAGCCACTCCATACCTGCGTCGCCTGCTTTCTTTCAAAAATCCACGGGGTTCTCCTCTGGCCGAGTCTCTCTTCCACTTCTTATCTTACAAATAACCCCCTTAACCTTTGCAACCTTTATGCATCTACAATACCCAAAATCTCTACGTCTCTAAGCACCCAATTGTAAGTCTCTTCTTGGAGCATATAGATCATGTGACCCAAATTTGTCAAAAAAAATAATAATTGGAATTTGGTCCTTGAGTGCTTTAGTGCACATATTCACCAACTAACCTTTTGAAGTAACAAGATTTAGTGGAGACTAATTAGCAGTCTACTTTCTAACCTAGTGACAATAATTTTGATATTCTTGACCTTCTCATAGAACATTGAGTTCGAAGTGATGTGTGTCACAATTTTGACTATTGCAAATCATTATATGACTTTTCCAAACTTCAACTTTTCAAGTATATCTGAATGACTCAACAAAGTTTTCATGGCATGCCATATATGAAACAAGAAATATTACATCTTTTTGAGATACACTATTTTATGGCTTGTTTGTTCCTCAGACTGAGAATTTCAATCATTCATCACACGATCTTTTTTTCAGTAATCTCGACTAGAACTCTCTCTCTCCACCCTCCTTTTCCACTTTTTTGAGTACTTCTAATTGATTACAATTTGTTGCAATGTTTTGAGAAAGAATACATTAATGTCTTTGATAGTTTTGAATAATTTGATGATTTTCTCTATCCTTGCTTATTAGTTGTGTTATCTCTATATCCAATATATTTCTTCTTCTTGCATGTAGATGAACGTTTCTGTGAGGCAAGGAATAGAGCTTATATTTCAAAGTGGTTGCGGAATTCAATAAGACACCACAGCGGCTTTGACAAGTCAATGGAAGAGCTGAAATCCTTTTTCAGAGATGTCAAAGTACTCATTGACAACCTTTAAAAATCATGGCAGCTATTGTTCTCTGCATCAGTGCATTGTCTTTGTTGAAGTTTTCCCAATATTTTTCTCTTTTTGATTCTTTTTAGTTATTAATTCAAACCTTTTCTAAAAACTTTAAACAGGAGCGTGTTGGCAAGGCAGCCAGTTCCATACAAAGTTCTGTTGTTGATGTTGAAGAAAATGCTTTTGTTACCAAGAGTATAAGAACCAGGCAGAAAAACCAGAAGTTCAGCACTTCTGATGTGAAAGGGCTTAAGGAGGAAGAAAATGGTGCATTGATTTGTCAAAAAGCTCCGCTCCTATGTCAATCTTCATGTTTTGATACCATGTATAATACATCCTCCACTAAAATGAGAATTGATGCCCCTCATTTGATGTTAAGTGATGATGAGGATTCTGATGGTCGCAGAGGTTACATTGATTTGGAATGTGATTCAGCATTTTCATCTAGGTGAAACATGAATCTTTAATGCGTTGTGTCTGCTAATTTCATTCCTTTCATTCAGTTCAAAAAATTCTGCGAGCTCACTACTGAATTCCTATTTGCAGGTTCTCTGGAGATCCATTGATAGTTTCACACGCTGCTGACCCTCAATTAACTATTGTAAAAGAAACTCCTGCTACTGATGACATTATTCACATTTCTAGTCCTCAATCCTTCTCCAAGGATGAATATTCTTCCTCCACCATCATTCAAGCATCTAGTGACCTTTCAGACCACTTGGCAAATCATCCTACAACTCAACAAAAAACTGAGTTGGGTTGTAAATCTCCCTGTTTGACGATTACTCCTCAAAAAGATGTCTATACAAAAGCAAACATGATATCATTTGATGTTGAATCGCCAATTAACTCGAGCGTCAATTCTCATGTCGGGAAAAGGATAAAACGTCTGGATTTGTCATCCATAGTTCATCTTGATGCAGAAGAATTTGATACTCAGATGACCAAGATTCCTATGCATGATAGTTCTACATGTAGATCAAGGAAGATTAAAGATGCAAACCAGATTGATTCTAGTTCCAGAATTAGTCAGTTAGACAAGGAACTGGAGAAGTCCAAATCTCCTTGGTCATCAGTCCTGAATAACTGTGAGACATCAGTCGTGCAGTCTAATCTTGCTATGTACGAAAGACTTCAGATATTTTGCTCACTTTGCAACAATCCACTAGGGCTTCCTGAGAATAATTTATTTGTTATGTGCTCACGAACTTTGTCAACAAAAACTCACTTAAAATCTCTTTGGAAGGGTCAACCAGAAACCCCTGATCCGAGCAGACATAGTATACCTATTCTCATAGCTAACTTTTCGTCTGTTGATCAACGCATCTATGAAAGAAGCAGTGACAATTTATCTGTTCAGGGGATTTGGTGCAAAGAAGATGGTTGTGTTTTCAAAACTATTTTCTGTCCCTTCTGTGTAAATTCCAGACATTGTCTTGGGGTACAGGTCATGGCTTCTGATGCGTCTAATGTCCAGTTACTAAATAAGGTATTTATCTTTCCACCACTACAGTACTGGTTGCAGGGTTTTAACTGGTTCAGTTTCTATCCTAAAACTTGAACATTTTCTTTTGATATTTTCTGTTTTCACCATTTGTTTTCTGTGAAGGTGCTGCTTTATTGTGATTGCTTGGTGATAAAGGAGCCTGAAGCATCAAGAAAGGTCAGTAAGTCCTTTGCTCATTCCTTGGAACAAGTGACCTAGAATGTCTGGGGGAAATAATTAAGCAGAGTTGAGTATCATATAATCTGTCTATTGATAGGTCAATATATCATGACTTAGATAGTGATCATGCAGATCAAGGGCTAATACATGATGTTGCCTGTGAACTAATGTAGTTCTGAATCATTCACCTCTAAACCTGTAAATAGACCATCCAAGTTTCCGTTTATCTCAATTCTGTTACGGATCTATTTCTTTGACGTCCATGAAAATATTGCGTAGTATATACATTATTTGACCCAGTCTTTACCGGATTCATCCTGTTTCTGCATGCGCCTGAAACTTAATTCCTCAACTGCCAGTAAACCTACTGTTTGAGGCTGGATATAAACTCTAGGTAGAAGAATGCTTGATTATTTGCCGCTTAAAATCCCTACACCAGAGATACTAATCTCCATACTTACTTTGGAACTAGGCTGATGTGTTGATATGCTACTTTTTGGTTCTTTCTAACAAATGAAACAAACACCAAAAGTTTCAGTGGATCACTAGATTATTTATCCTGTTAAATTTGTGCCTTTTTTTCCTTCCCTCTTACTGATGTTGCCTTTATGAGCTCAATTTAGGAATTATCTCCATCCAACAATTCAAGCTCTGACAGAGGTCTTAATTCCATTGAGAGTTTCACATTTACTCCTGAACAGCAGAACCTTGGAGGATGGAGAACTACAAAATCCAAGGTTAGGACATATATTTGGATATAGTTTAACATTGTTAACCTAATGGTCTATCGAAAACAACCTCTCTACTTTGAGGTAGGGGTAAGGTCTACGTACAGACCCCACTTTGTGAGACTACATTTGATATGTTATTGTTAGCCTAATATCTATATTCATTAAATAAATTAATCATGCAGATGCGATTACCAAAGAGGAGCATCTCATCTAGTGCACATAGGTGATGCAGAACGATTTTTGGAGTTCACTAAATAGATGATTCTTACTGAAAATGCTACCACATTATAAAGACTCAAATTTCTAGGACAGATCACAAGTTGCCTACAATATGAACTGTTTATGCAGTTCGATACAAGATATTAACAGTCAGTGATCACTTTTGTGTTAGGCAAATAATTAGATTCCAGTTTTTTCTCCATTTATATTGACAGGAAATAGAGTGTACAAATTGATCAGATACAGAAAATTGTGTTCTATATAATTTATTCAAGTTGTGCAAAGATGAGATATCATGTTGAAGGCGGCGAATCACGAACTAAAACAAGTTTATGGATGATCAATATAGATTGTCTTATTGTGACTTGTTCGTTGAAGTAAAGATGATTGGATTTTGTATAGATGATAGTCCTTGTATTTCTTTTCAATTGGTTTGTCAAGACCTTGACTCTTGTATAAATATTGATATCCCACTTGAACATGTAATGTAAAGTTAACTATGTGAAAAAACACATTATAAAAGATATATTGATTAAACATTAGAGATTATTTGACCTTGTGATTTAAATATTAGAACAATCAAAAGGAAGAAGCTTTTTCAAATTCATCTAATGAGTTAGGCCATCCATTGCTGAAATTTATGGTTTAAAATTCATCTTATGAGTTAGGCTATCCATTGCTGAAATTTATGGTTTAATGTTTAACAAGAAGATACTTGGATCAAGTAATAACCGTTTACATTATTCTACAACAACAGCTAAATCAGAAGTATTTTTTCTCATAACCGACAAGACCATGAACCCCTCCTTCAACTTGTGCTGCTCCTGTACGGACCTGAAGAACCAGAAAGAGAGTTAAAAGTTGGATCCCAATGAACTAGGAGAGCTAAGATGATTTTGCTCTTTCAATTCGTTACAATATAACAATGACCGAGGACGAAGATACAAACCTCTAGCCTCAATGAGCCTGATCTTAAGAGATGATGAGCAGACTGCAGCGAGGAAGCACCTAGATCCTGGAATCCTTGTTTTACAGCTTGCATTGTATACGGAACGAACTTCAGAACAGAACCCTTATCAGCAACTGAACCGACGACACCCTGAGCAATCTTTAGTTTAGCAGTATCACCCAAGTATCTTGCATCGCTCCCTTTTGTCATTGCTTCCAAGGATCCCATACCTCGATACTTTTTCACACGGAGACCATTCTATCCTTGCCAAAAAGTTGACTAGAGTTAACAATAGCACTAAGGGAACATTTGAATAGAATACACTTGCAAATATGAACACAGAATGACCAAGGTACATTTAGTCTCGCAATACAAAACGTACAATCAAACTGCTTTGTTGATTAGATAATCAAAACTCTTGACACAGAAAGCCAGATATACAACGATAGCCCCTCAAGTTAGGCACTAAATTTTTGCTTCTGACCAACTGACATTTCGTGCCAACTTTGAGGGGCAATGTATTTGGCCTTAAACACAATCAAGTGAAACACCACACATCATCTGACATTCATAGTTAATTATTTTTGGGAAGAAGAGAAAGGAATGAATACAAACAATGATTTCTTAAGATGGAGAAAGTGCGATCTTAAGAACCATCAAAAACCATTTCTTAGCTTCTAATTCTATCTTCAACATCTAACTGTTTTCCAAAGACTGGTTTCATTTTGAGTACAAACAATGATTCTTTTTTGGAGAAATGTGACGGTAAACAACAAAGAATAATTCTTAGTCTTCTAGTTTTTTGTTTTTCAGTCTTGCTATGCATTCTTGATTTAACTTTTCAATACATAATTTAAGTGATAATGCCCCGAGTTCTCATACCTCCAACGGAGAATTTTCAATCAAGGGAAGTTGGATAGGCAACAATATACTAAGCCTGCAGGTTCTCCAGATACAGCTAAAGCACTCGTTAGGTGTATCCTGGAAGGAACTTTTGCAGACAGAGTATAAAAGGATTGAGAATCCTGTAGTACCTTATTTTCATAAGTGCCAGGAGCTTCATTGCTTCCAGCCAAGAAGCTCCCCATCATGACAGTTGATGCTCCAAGCGACAATGCCTTCACGATATGGCCAGAATTAGAAATCCCACCATCAGCGATAACAGGGACACCATGCTGCTCAGCAATTGATGACACCTTGTAAACAGCAGTCGCCTACAGAAATTGACAGAGAAATAAGTTCCGCAGAAAGAGAGAAAGCAAGTTTAAATTCAGTTGTCAGCCAGCGAGTTCCCTGTATGCTTTCAGACTTCGTTCCTTCCCAATCGTTTTACTTATGCTCATGTCTATATTGATAGTGACTACCTTCGTATTCAGTTATACAGAGGGAAAATTAACAAAATAAATCAACTACAATCAACAAAACAAAAACCAGCTCCATCCAATAACTCACCTGTCCGCGGCCCACAGCACAAACTTCTTGAGTGGTACAAATGGACCCGGATCCCATCCCGACTCTCAATCCATCTACATCCTGCTTAATCAAGTTCTCTGCTTGGTACTTAGTGACTATATTTCCACCAATCACATCCAAGTGAGGGTAAGTATGTTTCACATACTTGATCATATTAATCTGATACTCTGAGTTCCCTTGCGAGCTATCAATCACGAGAGCGTTAATCCCAGCTTTCACCAAATGCTCCAGCCTCTCTTTATCTGAATCCCTTGTCCCTATTGCTGCCCCCACCAAGAACTTCCCGTCTGTCCCTAAAGACGGCAAACCCAATTTGGGAAGCGAATTCATTCTCTCCAAGTCAGTAGCTGTCACCAAATTGACCACTTCCCCGTCCTTGTCATTCACCAATGGTACAAAGTCCAGCTTTTTAGATGCAATGTAGCCTGCTACATCCTCAAAATTATAGCTTGAAGGCAGAGTAACCGGAGAAGCGTTCATGTAATCAGAAATTCTAGCTTCCTTATCACTCAAACCCTTCCAAGTAGACTTACATACAACACCTAAAACTTTGGATTCCTTAGTTCCTGACTCAGTGACAAAAATACAAGGAGAGTTACCAAATTCATCAGCAGAATGGATGGAATCGGAAGGGGAAGCAAAGATCAAATCCGATGAGAAAGGGATTTGATGAGACTTAGCAGCACGGACAATAGAAGCTTGTTGCGAAATGGTGTTGTTGTAGTGAACGATACCTATACCACCTAGCGCCGCCATTCCTATGGCCATGGAGGTCTCAGTGACGGTGTCCATCGGAGAAGCAACGCAAGGGATGGAAAGGGAAATGTTGCGGCTGAGCTTAGTAGAGAGGTTGACGGCATCGGTAGGGAAGTCGATGAAGCCAGGGAGGAAGATGACATCATCGTAGGTGTAGGAGTAGCCTTGGTTGAACAACTTCTCCGCTGAAAATCCGTCGTCGTTCATGGTGGCGGCGATGCGGCGGCAACGGCGGCGGAAAAGGGTTTTTAGGGTTTTGCTGGTCAATAGAATTTCAAGGTGAAATCAAATGGTAAGTGATAAAAGAGAGGTACTATCATTGGAAGAGTGAAATATTTAATTATATATTTTTTTAAATCACGAATTATTTGTTATATTTAGCTATACATATAATATAAGTTTAACATGATATATAAGCAGTTAATAATATACTAACAATTAATAATTCTAGTAAATTATTTAAATTTTAATTAGTTGAAAAATAAATATACTCCAAGCAAAAAATTCAATAATTGAGTGAAGAAAAATAGTACCAATTTTACACTTTAAAAGAAAGTCCATTTTATAAAAATTTCCTACTCATTAATTAGTGGGATTTGTCATATGTGGTGGTCTTATTCACAGAAGGAAGTGGACTCATGACTCATTTATAATCCACTATTAACAAAAATATAAATCTATTTTATGATCTTATAATAGTACATTGGATGTATTATAAAAAAAGAAGAAAATAATATGTTCCTTTCAATTTATGTATGATAGTGTTTGACTTAATGAAGATAAAGAACAAACTTTTTGAAGTTTTGTAATTTATAACTAGGTCATTTATAGTACTCCTAGAGATGAAAGAAATTTGTGATAAAGGTGGAAATGATTTTGGTGTAGGACAAGAAATGAAAATGAGATTGAGATGGTTAAGATATGTAAAAAAGAGATGTACGAATGTGTTAATGTAAAGGTATGAGATGTTTGTTTGAATGATTTCAGAAGAGGTAAAAATAGGTCGATGAAGTAGTGAGGAGAAGTGAGTACATATGATATGATACAGTTTTAACTTAATGAGGACATATGAGGTTGTGGATGATACATATCAGATAGAAAGTTAGTAGATAGTATATTGATGACTCGTTTTTTCCTTCCATATTGGTAGTTATCAAATTACTCTCGTGGTTTTTTGTGCCTTGATTAATGTAACGTTTTGTTGTTTCTTGTACTTTAATTGTGCAATATTTTGTTGTAATTATCATAATGATTTGTCATATTTTCTATAGTATTTTATTATAACTTATTCATTGTTGTTATTTTCTTTTTCATATTGTTTTGTGTTGTTTTTTTCTTGAATTGAGGGTTATCAAAAACAACATCTCTGTCTCCAAGATAGGAATAAGGTCCTCCCCACTGAAAACAATATGAGTAACGATGAAATGAGAAGAAGAGGTGCCTCAAAGTACCCCATTTAAAAAGAAGGGTCGAAGATTTTGGGCTTGTAACTTTCATTGTTGACATATGTTAAATATTTTTAAATATGTTATAACAAGCATCAAATATGTAATTAAAGACAATAAAGAATAAAATTAATATTTCCAAATATACTTAATGTTTAAAATAAACTAGATAGAGAAATTGTATGAAAATAAATAAATGGAACATCTAGAATGACATAATCATAATCTTGCAATGAAATATCTTAACAATAAAATATATAGGATGAAGTAGAAGGAGGAGAAAGTGATTGATTTTAAAACAACATTAGGTGGGAAATTTGGTCAATTGACCCTTAAATAAACATCAACAACAAAGTGACTTAATACCCAACTCACTTTGAAAAAAATTGACAAATGGTGTTCTCTTCACTTCATTTTCTCCACACTTTACTTCTAAGAAAGGAACAAACCAACCAAAGAACTCATCTACACTCTTCCTTTGCCTTTTGCTATTATTCTCTTATCACAAGCAAATTTAAAATCTTTAACTTAATGAGTTTTGAACTTCGCGATAACAATTTCAGATACTAATAATTAAGTTAGGTATTTAATATTTTAATACACTTAGTAAATTTCTTAATATATATACACATAATTCAAATTAAAGCTATCGAATTTCACTGAATTCATATGACCTATTACTGTCACCAACCACCATTAGTTATGTACAATGTTTTATGTATGATTTAAATGAGTTAACAATCAAAACATAGTTAAATTATCACTTTTTGCGAGTTTTACATCTCAATCATTGTTATTTTGTTTCTTTTTTTTCTTTCATATGAATTATAACCACCTATATATTAAAAGACACCTAATTAAGTAGATAGTGATAGTTCATATTAAAAAATAGAACAACTGATATTAGACTTAATCAATTTCGAGGTATGTTTTAATACATAAATAAAGAAAATTCAACTAGGAAAAGGGAACATAGAACTCGCAATAAGGTAATAATTCACATGTGTTCTTGATTATTAACTTGAGCTAAAGTTATTAGATTCGGTCCAATCGGTACTTAAGAGCCTACCTCTGCCCTTGACACCAACAGCCATTAACTACCCTACCCCACCCCCTCCCCCACCACCCAATTACCCAAATATTAGAGCCACCCATTTCTTTGTCCTCCATTTCTAGCACAAAGAACAAGAACCTACCTTCACTACACAAAGTTCCCAACTTTCTTTGATCTTTCACCTCAAATCTTGAAATGGATATCAAATTTTTCATGTTTTCATTCATTCTAACCTCACTTTTCCTCATTCTTATCTACATGCCTACCCAATTTTCCCACTCACCCATCACCATTTTCAAGCCAAAAAAAACTTTCATAATCTCAAATACCACAACTAACCCTTACCCTGTAAAATTTGCTTACTTGATCTCTGCTTCTAAAGGAGATGTACCAAAGCTAAAAAGACTTCTTTTTTCACTTTACCATCCTGGTAATTTTTACTTGATTCACTTAGATTTAGATGCACCAGAAAATGAACACCAAGAAATTTCAAGATTTGTGAGTGACAACTCTGTTTTTGGAGAAATTAATAATGTTTGGGTTGTTGGAAAGCCAAATTTAGTGACATATAGAGGACCAACTATGTTAGCTACAACACTACATGCAATGGCTATGCTTTTGAAGATTGCTAAATGGGATTGGTTTATTAATCTAAGTGCCTCTGATTATCCTTTAGTTACTCAAGATGGTATGGTGAGTGACTTTTTTTTTTTGTGATTTTTGACTTAAAGATTGCATTTTTATCAATATATTTATAAAAAAGAACATTTTTTTCATGTGGGGTTTTGAAATTTCAGAGAAAAAAACTGTTTTTTATGATTCTTGATTTGTGTTTGAGAGATAGATTCAAGTGATTAATCTTTTTTTTTTTCACATTTAAAAAAAATTAAAATGGTTAAAAGAATGTTTCTGAAAATGTGGTGAAGAAAAATAGTTAAGTTTTGTTTATTATATATTACAATAAAATCTATGAATTCTTTCAAACAATTTTTTTTTGTCATAATGTATTTTTTAACTTTTTTTGTTTCATGATCTCAGATCTGATCCATGCCTTCTCTGACTTACCAAGGGATCTTAATTTTGTACAACACACTAGCCACATGGGGTGGAAACTGTAAGTCCCTTTTTTTTTCTAAATTTTAAATGACACAAATAACTATCATTTTTTCACGAGTTTCACGCATCAACATCAACTATCGGTTGTTTTATCGTGATAGTGTAGGAAAAGAGAACACTTTATTAGCTTCGAGGTGTGTTTTAATACATAGATGGTGATAGTTCAGGTAGAAGCATGGAACAACTGATAGTTAGGGTGTGAAATGATTCGTTATGAAGTTGTGTTTTTAATCATTAACTTATTTTAAGTTGTTTATTTATGAAATTCCATAGTACATATCAATTAAAAAAAATTCTTAATTTATTTAGGAATAAGAGAGGAAAGCCAATTATTATAGATCCTGGTCTTCATACTCTAAACAAATCAGAGATTTGGTGGGTTATCAAGCAAAGAAGTCTTCCAACTGCTTTCAAGCTTTATACAGGTTATTATTTATCTTTATCTTCTTTTAATTTTTTATTCATTATTTGTGGCTTTAAAAATTCTAAGAGATCTTTATAATATAAAGTACAAAAAGTGAAAGACATTACATGTGAGATGTGAACTCTTGAAGAGAGCAAAAGACCACAAAAAGAGGGACTAAAGTACTTTTAACTTTGATTTAACTACCTATATCACCTAGATGAGGAGCAACTTTTTCTCCTAAGTATCTATTAGGTTGCTTGGATCCTTCAAAAATATTATTGCACCCACACACGTTGAATCTTTAAAAAATGCACACATTTTGGGTCCCTCCAAAAATATTGTTGCATCCACTTGTGTCGAGTCCTCCAAAAATGAATTGTGACACATCACCCAAGATAATCATAAAATAAGTTATGTTGCTCGGACCCTCGAAATTGTTGTAACACAAATTAAACATGTATCAGATCCTCCAAAAATGCATAGTTTTTGAAGGATCCGACACGCACCTCATTAGGGAAAAGCTAATTAACGCAAAAGGGTAAGTAATTGGAGAATGGACTAGTGGTTACTGGTTTGCTTATATAGATTTGGCAAATTCTCCCCTTGACAACTACAGCAGTTTTTAGAGTTGAATTAGGCTCAATGTCTATATCTTGTCATGGTATCAGTGTAAGACTCATCCTAATTATCATTTCGGATGTTGAGCCCCCCTATCAAACTGCTCACGCTCCATATATCCAGCCTTGGGCGGAAGGGGATCAAGAGTTTTACATCGGTTCTTTACGGGATGAGTGATTGTATCAAAAGATAATTAAAAAGTAGTTTGAGCTACATTATCAAGAAAATGCACATGTTAATGCCGTTAACACATGCTTTGCACTTGGTTTAAGGGACATATAGTTCAAGTGAGAATTTCTACATTGATTTGATGGCACCTTGATTCTGCTGTTTTTTGGATTTGTGTGTGTAGAATATAACATAAGACTCAAGATTTGCTTCCAATATGACTTCTTGTTGAAATCTGTTTACAACATGAATGTCTTCGTTGTTTTCAATATGACTTCTTTATGACTGTATTTGCTTTACATACTTGATTTTTGATTTGTTTTACTTGAGCCGAGGGTCTTGTTGAAATTTTTTAACAACTACTAACACAAAATCTATTTACAGGTTCAGCTTGGACAATATTGTCTAGATCCTTTGCTGAATACTGCATAATAGGCTGGGAAAATCTTCCAAGAACTCTACTTCTTTACTACACAAATTTTGTGTCATCTCCAGAGGGTTATTTCCAAACAGTCA